TTTTCTGTGAGTGTTTTAGATTCCACATGTAAATGAGATCATACAGCATTTGTCTCTCTGTCTGACCTATTTCACTTAACATAATGCCATCGCAGTCTATCCATGTTGTTGCAAGTGGTAGGATTTCCTTTTTTGAATTTTTTTGGATGAATAATATTCCATGGTGTATTTACCACAACTTAACCCATTTATCCATTAACGGGCACTTAAGTTGTTTCCATATTTGGGCTGCTATGACTGTGGGGGTGCAGATATCTTTTTGAGTTAGTGTGTTTGTTTCCTTTGGATATATTCCCAGAAGTGGAATTGCTGGACCTTACAGTAGTTCCATTTTAACTTTTCAAGAAACTTCCATATATTGTATTTTCCATAGTGGCTGTACCAATTTACAATCTCAGCAACAGTGCACAAGGGTTCCCATTTCTCCACATTGACCCCAGTATTTATCTCTTGTGTTTTTGATCATGGCCATTCTAACAGGCATTGGGTGATATCTTAACGTGGTTTTCATTAGAATTTCCCTGATGACTAGTAATGTTGAACCTCTCTCTTCATGTAGCTTAGCCAGTCATATATTTTCTTTGGAAAAATCTGCATTCAGGTCCTTTGTCCATTTTTAAATAGGATTATTATTATTTTTTGCTGTTGATTTGTAGGAGGTCGTTATATCTTTTGGATATTGTTTTTATTGTATATATAATTTGCAAATTTTTTTCATTCTATAGGTTTTCTCATTTTGTCGATGGTTTCTTCTGCTGCGTAGAAGCTTTTTAGTTTTATGTGGTGCCATTTGTTTATTTTTAACTTTGTTGCTGTTGCTGTAGGTGTGATTTCCAAATAATCAGTACTGAGACCCATGACAAAAAGCTTTTTTTCTCTTTTCTTCTAGGAGTTTTATGGTGTCAGGCCTTAACATTTAAGTATTTAATCCATTTTGGGTTCATTTTTGTGAGTGGTATAACATAGGGTTCAGTTTCATTCCTTTATATGTGAATATTCAATTTCCCCAGCACCATTTATTGAAGTGACTGTCATTTAAATCTCCTTTGAGTATTCATTGTTCTCCTGTCAAATATTAATTGACCACATAACCAGTTTATTTTTGGGCTCTCAGTTCTGCTGCATGGTCTGTTCTATCTGCTTTTATGTTACCACCATACTGTTTTAATTATTGTAGCTTTATACTACAGTTTAAAGTTGGGAAGTATGATGCTTTCTGCTTTGTTCTTTTTTCTTAGGAATTTTTCTTTTTGGCTATTTGGGGTCTTTTATGGCTCCATATAAATGGCTAGTTTTATATATATAATTTGTAGAAAAAAGCCATTGGAATCTTCATAGGGATATAGCATTGAATCTGTAGGTGACTTTTGATAGTATTGAAATTTTAACAGTATTAATTCTTCTACATTGAATTTTATATGTTGAACCATCCTTGCATTCCAGAGTTAAATCCTACTTGATCATGTATAATCTTTTTAATGTGCTGTGGATTTTGTGTGCTAGTATTTTGTTGAGGACTTTTACATCAGTATTCATTAAGAGGGATATTGGTTTATAGTGGGGTTTTTTCCCCTTGTAGTATCTTCATCTGGCTATATGTATCAGGGTAATCTGACCTCATAGAATGAGTTAGGAAATGTTCCTTCCTTCCTCTTCAATTTCTTTTTTTTTTTTTTTTTTTTTTTTTTGAGTGTCAGGGATTAGTGTTAACTCTTTAGATGTTTGGTCGAATTCAGGAGTAAAGCCATCTATCTGGTCGTTGGATTTTCACTTTTGGAAGGTTCTTTTGTTACTCATTTAATTTTTGTACTTATAGGCTTATTCATGATTCAGTCTCGGTAGTTGTATGTTTCTAGGAATTTATGCATTTCTTCTTGGCTCTCCAGTTTCTTAGTGTACTGTTCATATTATTCTTCTATCCTTATTTCTGTGGTATTGGTTATAATATTATGTTTCATTCCTGATTTTATTTCCTTTTTTTTTAGTCTAGTTAAGGGATTGTCGGTTTTGTTAATATGTTTTAAAAACAACTTTCAGTTTAATTATTTTTTTCTACTCACTATTTTGTTTATCTGTGTCCTAATCTTTATTATTTTCCTTGTGCCTGCTTCAGGTTTAGTTTGTTCTTCTTTGACTTCCTTGATGTATGTTACAGGTTGTGAATTTGTGATCTTGCTTTAAAAAAAAAATGACACCATTTCTGGGGGCCATAAACTTCCTCTTACCTCTGCTTTTGTTTTATCTCATAAGTTTTGGTAATTTGTGTTTTTATTTTCATTGTATCAGAGTATTTTCTAATTTCTCTGGTGATTTGTTTGATCTGTTGTTTTTCTGAGAGTATATTGTTTAATTTTCACATTTGTGGAATTTCAAGTTTCTCTTGTGTTGACATCTAACTTCATTTTATTGTGATTAGAAAAGATAGTGTGTGTGAATTCAATTTTCTTGAATTTGTTAAGACTTGTTTTGTGGCCTTATGTGTTCTATCCTGCAGTATGTTGCATGTGTACTTGAGAAATGTATATTCTGCTGTTTTGGATAGAGTGTTTTGTTTATTTCTGTTAGGTCCAACGGTCTATAGTGTTTGTTCAGTTCCTCTATTCTCCTTATTGTTGTTCTGATTGTTCTATTCATTGCAAGTGAGGTATTGAAGTCTCTTAATATTATTGCGTTGCTGTGTATCTCTCCCATTAATTCTTTCAAACTTTTCCTTGTTAATTTAGGAGCTCTGAGGTTTGGTGCATAAATACTTGTTAAATCTTCTGGTGAGTTGACCCTTTTGTCATTATATAATGTCCTTCTCTGTCACTTGTAACAGTTATTGATTTAAAGTCTTTTTGTTTGGTATTAGTATAGATACTCCTGCCCTCTTTTGGTTACCATTTACATGAAATATCTTTTCCATCCTTTCACTTTCAGCCTGTATGTGTCCTTAGATCTAAGCTGTTTCTCTTCTAGACAGTTGGAAGTCAGTTAACTTTTGATATTAAAAACTGGCTCAGGGAAGGGCTCTTTGAAACTTAATTTATATCACCCTGGCCAGTGTGGCTCAATTGGTTTGATTGTCATGCTGTAACTGAGAGGTCGCTGGTTCGATTCCCGACCAGGGCACATACATACCTAAGTTGTGGCTGGATGTCCAGTCTGGGAGCTTATGATCCCTTGGAAGCAACCAATCAATGTTTTTCTCTCTCTCCCATCTATGTTTTTTTCTCTCTCTTCCTCTCTAAAAAGCAGTGAAGGAATATACTCTGGGGAAGATTAAAAATAAAATGAGATAAACTTAATTTATATCAAAAGGCATTTAACCTCAGATCAGGGAACTGCTGATAACACCTACTTATTTTTGGAGCACTTATTTTAAGAGTCATCCATCAAGAATTTTGGGTACACTGTGATCCAGAGGTGACTGTGGGAAAGCCGATCAAACGTATGTGTTAGAAATGGTGTCTTTGATGAAGTCTAAGCAGTCAGGTAATAAAAATCAGGAGTTCTGGAAAATGGACTTTTTGATGCTTAATTTTTACTTTTGGGTTTCCTTTTAGACAATACAGTGAGGGGGAATGTTCTTATTCTTGCACATTGGGTTACTTATCAAAAGTGCTAGTTTTTTCATATTGTATCATTAGTTTTCTACAACTATGCTTGAATTGAATCCTCTCTTTGTAAGCCGTTGTGAATCAGCCATTTTCAAAGACAAGAACTCTCATGCTCCACCCCCAGTATTGTTTAGCTGCAGTAAATAGGCATTTTGAACTTTCGTTTGAGCATTCTTCTTTCCTGGAGGGCCCAAAGAAGAATAGCTGTGCCACAGCATTGGCTGTAATGTTGTGTATTTATGGATTTCAAGTTGCCAAAATGAGTTTGTAAAACACTTTCTTTGTTTTTATGCTTTATCTCTTAAAAATTGCCATTGAATGTTAACCAGTGTCACCCCAGTACATTAAATAAAAAGTAAAAAAAATCATTGAAGCAATGTGGGTGTGCCCCATGATGCTCTCTTTTGAGAAAAGCCTCTTGGAAGGCTTGATATCTTAGAAATCTCTTTAGTTATTGAATGGATGTTCAGTTAATCAGGACTCTCTATGACCAAAACACCTTGTTGTTAGTGCTCTGTAAAAAAAATGTTTTGTTAGTGTAGTAACAGTTTTAGTTCTGAAAAAAATCTGATAACCCTGGGTTTCCTCCAGAGGCTCTTTCACATTTGTCGTTATTAATATTAATATTTTCTTAGCATTCGTCTTTTTTTGACTCATACCTGCTTATTTTATACCAGTTTCCTTTTCTTTGCCTCTTTAAGAATCTGAGATAATGTTATTTTTTAAATATTTTGAAAGCATAGTTTGTAATCTCATTTTTTCTTTTTTTGGTGCACCATTCTCTACTTGGTATTTTGTGGTTGTCTCTGTCTTGCCCCTTACATCTACATCTACAGCAGTTCCCCAGTATTAGAGGAAGTCTAATATTGGAAGCCTTGAGTTTTTCTTTTCCAGGGATACTGGGTAAAATCTCAAAAACCAAAACAAACTTGACCTAGTTGGTTTTCGTTTGGTTGCCTCTGCAGTTTTTCATTTGCATTGTTTCAGCCTTGGGCAGCATCACAGCTTTAATGTAAGTGGGAGAGCTCTGTTTCAACCCAGTTTCACAAAATGAGCCTGACTTTTATTTTAGTCCTTATTATTAGAGTTAATTTCTTAGGTGTCTCAAACAAGAAGGTTTTAAAACACCTAATTTGCTTGTTTCTGCTTGCTTCTTTTACCTCTGGGGCCATAGGCTGTTAAGGAACTGCTATAGTTTATTGGAAAGTATGTTGTGTCCTAACAAGGTAATCATAAGTCCCTGTGTTTATTTTTAGGACACAACATAAAGTGAAGATAATAACTTGAACTGTGGTTATGATGTTGAAATGTCTATATATGAAAGAGTTTTATAAACTGAGAAATATAATCTAAATGTTAGATTTTGTTATTGCTCTATTTAAATCTCCTTTTGATTTTCAGGTTGTTCCATTGACCAGTCATGTATGGCAGCAGTCATATCAAGACAAGAACAGAACACCTATTTCCGATTCTAATGTGGTCTCTCTGGAAGAAACAGCTCAGTGGGACTCTGAGGATGATCAGGTATGTCTTATATAACTGGAAAACTATGTTTCCTTTGGTAGACAGCATGAAAAATTGTTACCTAGCTGTGGATAGTGGAAAAAGGTGAGTTACTTTAATATTCCATTCCTCTAGTAGATCTTTGGCAATCTTAATTATAAAACGGCAGCTCTTTTATTTTGTCTCAGAACTCCTTTACATTCTTCAAAAGTATTTTAAAGAGCTTTGCTTATATGGGTTATCTATATTGATAGCTTACTAGAAATTAAAACATTAAAAAATACTTATTTAAACATGTCAAGCCCATTATATATTAACATAAACAATATATTTTAAAGTGAAAAATGACTTTTCCAAAGCAAAACAAAATTATCGGGAAGAGTGACATTGGTTTACATTTTTGTATATCTCTTTAATGTTAGGCTTAATAGAAGACAGTCTATTAGAAAAACAGAACCAATAGGAGACATATATACCATTATATTATTGGAATAATATTTACCACGTATGTTGAAATATATATAGGCTCATGATTATGGAGGCTGAGAATTTCCAATATTTGTAACCTGGTGACTCAGGAGAGCTGATAGTATAATTACACTCTGAGTCTAATGGCCTGAGGACCAGGCCAGTTGTTAGTTTAAATTTCATTCTGAGTCCAAGTCCAAAGACAGGGGAAGACCAGTGTCCCAGCTCAAAGACCATTAGGCGGAGAGAGCAAATTCTCTTACTCAGCTTTTTGTTCTGTTCAGGCTTTTAATGGGTTGGATAAGGCCTGCTCACATTGGGAATGGCAATCTGGTTTACTGTCTGTAGATCCATCCAATGTTAATCTCATCCAGACACACCCTCTAGAATGTTTAGCCAAATATCTGTGCACCCTGTGGTCCAGTCAAGTTGACACATAAAATTAACCATCATAACTAGATTTTCATATCTGCTTCTGCATTTGGTCCTTTGGGATATATTGTTTCAGTTGAAATATGTGAAGAAAATCTGGCCTTACATATAAATGTAGTTATAAAAGGAAGGCTTACATAGATTCCCTGCCTGAAAGCATGTCAGCGACCTGCAGGAAGCCACAGACCACACTTTGAGAGCCATTGATTTAGAACATAGTCATAAACTTAGAAGAAATAGAAAAATTATGACCAGATAGGAAAAAGCTCATATACGATATATGTTTAGGAGGAAAAAATAAAGCCTTACTCATAACGGTTAGATATTTAAAGTTGATTATCTAATAACATTGTAAGAAAGTGCCAAACTGTTTTCTAGAATGACTGTATCATTTTACATACTCCACAATGTGTGAGAGTTCTGGTTGCATTGCCTTCTTGTGAGCCCTTGGTATTATTGTCAGTTTTTTACATTTTAATAATTCTAGGTGTATTACAGTGTCTCAGTTCATTTTTTTAAATCCTCATCTGAGGATATGTCTATTGATTTTAGAAAGAGAGGAAGGGGGTAGGAGGGAGAGATAGAAAGAAAGAAACATCAGTGTGAGAGAGAACCATTGATCAGTTGCCTCCTGTACGTGCCCCAACTGGGGATAAAACCCACAACCTAGGCATGTGCCCTGACCAGGAATTGAACCTGCAGCCTTTTTGTGTAGAGATGATGCTCCAACCACCTGAACCATCCTGCCAGGGCTCATTGTAGTTTTTAACATGAATTTTCATAATGACTAATATTGTGCATCTTTTTTTGTGTTTATTTGTCATACATGTGTCTTTAGTGAAGTATCTGTTTAAAGTCTCTTACCCATTTTTTATTTTTTGGCCAATTCCATTTGTTGAGATTTGAGAGAGCTTTATATATTCTAGATGTAAGCCTTTATTAAATATGTGTTTTACAAATATTTCCTCCCAGGGTGTGTTTTTTCTTTGAATTTTCCTATCTGTCTTTGAAAGAGCAGAAGTTTTAATTTTGATGAAGTAGGTTTATTGATTTTTGGTTTTTATGGTTTGTACTTCTTGTGTCCTGAGAAATTTTTGACCTCAGTCTAGGTCACAAAGATTTTCTCCTGTTTTTGGTTAAAACAGAATTTCTCAGTCTTGCCACTTTTGACATTTTAGGCCAGATAACTTTTTGTTGTATGGGCTGTCCTGTGTATTGTAAGATGTTGAGTAGCATCCCTGGTCTCTCCCACTAGATATGAGTAATACTCCCCATGTTTGACCATATATATGTATGGGTCTGCTTCTGGAGTCTCTATTTCATTGATTTATTTGTTTCTCCTCATCTCAATGCCACACTCTTGATTACTGGACTATCTAGAAATCAGGTAGTATGAGTTCTCCCACTTTTTTCTCTTTTTAAAAATAGTTCTGCCTGTGCTAGGTTCTTTGAATTTCTATACATACATTTCAGAGTCAGCTTGTCAATTTCTACTAAAAAAGTGGGCTGGAATTTTGATTAACATTGCCTTGAGTCTATATATAAATTTGCAGAGAATTGACATCTTAATACTGAGTTCTCTAGTCCACAAACAGTAGTTCTTTCCATTTTATTTAGGTCTTTAATTTCTTCATCAGTGTTTTGTTGTCTTCAGTGTACCAAACTTAATGGGCATTTTGTTAGAATTACTGATATTTTTTAAAATTTCAATTTCCTATTTATCACAATAAATTGTTAATTTTCTATTGTTTATATAGAAATATATCATTGAATTTTTATGTTGACCTTGTATCCTATGACCTTGCTTATCTCATTTACTAGTTCTAGTAAATGTAGATCCTTTAGGACTTTATACATAGACAATTGTAACAACTGTATTTTTTCCTGTTTAATATACAGATTACCATTGAACAACAGAGGTTTGAATTATGTGGGCCCATTTATACATGGAATTTTTTTCATAACTACCTAAATGTTTTCGATCTGTGGTTGGGAGTCTAGAGGGGGAGGGCTGACTGTATGCATTGATCTATGCCATTTTATATAGGGACCTGACCATTTAAGGATTTTGGTATCATGGGGATTCTGAAACCAATCCCCTGTAGATACTCTGGGCAGTTAAATTTTGGGGGAGTGAAAAGTCATAGAAGATTTTCAACTGCACAGAGGGTTTGGCGCCTCTAACCCTGGGTGTTATTCAAGAGTCAATTGTATATGCCCTATATCACTTGCTAGGATCTACTTGTTCTTCTATTTGATTTATTAATACTTTGTGATCTGACCTCAACTGGATGAAAACAAGTGTTACCAATATATTTATGTAGCTGAACACAGTGAACACTTTTCTATCTTCACCTTAGAAGTAAATAGCATTTGACACTTAACCATTGCATAATTCTTAAAAATCATTTCTTGGCTTCTCCTGGTTTCCTTTCTACTCCTCTGGCTATTTATTCTTTCAGTTTTCTTTGCTTTATCTTCCCCTTTAAACCAACAATTCCACTGCTGGGATTACACCCCAAGAATTCTGAAACACCATTCAGAAGAACCTATGCACCCCAATGTTCATAGCAGCTAACCGAGTGCTAGAAGCAACCTAAGTGCCAATCAGTAAGTGAGTAGATCAAAAAACTGTGGTACATTTGCACAGTGGAATGCTACGCAGCACAAAGAAAGGAGTCCTACCCTTTGTGGCAGCATGGATGAAACTGGAGAACAATATGCTGAGTGAAATAAGCCAGGCAGTGAAAAACAAATACCATATGATCTCACCTATAAGTGGAACCTAATCAACAAAACAAACATGCAAGTGAAATACAACTAGAGACATTGAAATAAAGGACAAACTGACAGTAACCAGAGAGGAAGGAGGAGAGGGATATTGGGGGAAAACAGGGGAAGGGCCATCATGGAACATGTATAAAGGACACATGGACAAAGTCAAGGGGGATAGGTTTGAGGTTGGGAGGCGGGGTGGGTAGGGTGGAGGAGCGTGGTGGGGTGAAAAAGGAGACAACTGTACTTGAACAACAATTTTTCAAAAAGAAAAATATGTATAAATAAATAAACCTTGAAATCAAAGGTTTACAAGCTGTGGAACTGAATATGGCCCAAATATAATTTACAGAAACCATTTTTTTAGCATAGTATTTTAAAGTTTTTGAAGTAGAACACTTTAAAGTGTGCATGCAGTGCATAGTTGTCCATAAGTCCCATCACTTTGTAATTCCGGGCAAATTTACTCATTTCTATTTACCTCTCTGCCCCAGTACACATTCGAGTTTTTCACTTCTGCTTGAGATGTTGGAATGCTATGGTTCTCATCTAGGTCCAGGGCTTTATACTTAAAAATCTTAAATTTATATTTTCAGTTTATACTTCTCCCTTAGAATTTATACTTATCCAATTGCTTATATGCCCTTCCTGCTTATACATGTCAAAATATTGAGAGTTGAGGACCTTTTTATATTGATTTAAAAGGCATTATACAAGGAATCACTGTGTGACAGAAACATAGCAACAAAATATGCAGAAATATGAAGGAATGTTGAACAGAGATTTAAAATTTTATTTTTTAATGGAAAATTATGGAAGTATGTTTGTGTGGGGAAAGGAATGAATCATAGAGAGGGAAAGTGGGAAAATCACATATAGGAAGGAAATCACCAAAAAAAATTGGGAGATGAGAATGCTTTTGATAATTGGAAAGACTTTTTTTTAAGCCACAAGATGAAAATCTGTATACATAATGGGTTTGTAGATTTGGTGGTGGGAAGATTAGGAATTTTCATCTGCTATTTACTTGGTGCAGTATGAAATGAAGTCATCAGTTGAATTGGAGGAAAGATGGGCCTTGGTGGGGTGGTTCAGTTGGTTAGATACCCCAACTTCGGGTAAAGTACTGATACCCCAAGGTTGTGGGTTCTATCCCCAGTCAGGGCACATACAATAAATGTGTAAGCAAGTAGAACTACTATCAGTGTTTCTCTTTCTCTCTCTCTAAAATATAGATTTAAAATAATTTTAAAAAGAAAATGAGGAAGGAGAGTTCAGTTGAATTTTGAGAAGAAATAAGTAGTTATTTTAGTAAATCAACTCCCAGAAAAATACAGTAAGGTTTT